GGCAGGCAGAGTTTTCTGCTGTGCTTTGATCTCTTCAACAGCAGGGCAAGAATCCCAGGCATGGTTGATAAGGTGCCCCTGAGTCCACCCCAGGCCTATGTTATCTAAGTGCAGATGTTCTACTTGTTGAGCGCACAAAAGTAAGCAACAATTAGTGTAAAATATGTGTTTTCCAGCATCCCACATGCGAGTCACTTGAGCATATTTACAGTCCTCCTCGCCAATCTTCCGTTAGTTTCCCACAGTCAAAGACTATGGTGAAGCCAAGTTCTCAGACCTGTGTCTTGTCAAATTTAGCGCGTTCCCTCTGCTCAGAGAAGCTAGCTGTAAATGTAGAGAAATAGAACCAGCCAAAGGTCATTGTCACATCATTTTATTGAAGTTACGTGAATGTGTATCAGTGAGGAGCACTGGACATCCAGCTATTTGATTGATGCCAATTTAGAAGCACATATGTAAGACAGAACTATAAAGCAAAGCTGGCTGAACCCCTGTAAGCATCTTGGAGCTGAATAAGATAGCTAAAGGTAATTAGAAGGTGCTTGTCAGGCAGTTGGACTAGATGATTGTTGTAGGTCCCTTCCAATTGAAATATTAGATCTATTATATTCTCATTTTAAGCAGAATAAAAATAATTTTAGAATACTATCCAAAAGATCAAATTTAGTTCTTTTCACAACAGTTCTCTGGAAGTTCTACTGCCCCAATAATTAAAACAGCATACTTACTTATTCCGTATCAACAAGTACATATTTCTTTAAAATAAAGATGTTCAGGCAATAGAACATGCTGGTATGTCCTATTTTTAAGAAATTGCTTATATCCTTGGAATTTTATCTGGTGCTCACAAAGTGAGAAAAGATAATTACTCAGAGGAGTTGAATGTAAATACTATCATTTTTAATGTAAAACGGAGTTACAAATACTAATGCATGGAACAAAGCCTGCCCAGCTGACAGCTTGCAAGACACATCTGGCCTCCAGGACAATTTTCCACTATTGTATAGAATTATACATCTCGTCTGACAACTGGCCTTAGTGTAAATGGGACTGATGTCATCCACTCCCAGTTGCCAAGAAGTTGAAAAGTCTTGCATTATATTTACAACTTGTTTATTCTTACCAATTATGGAGGCCAAGGCATGCTTCTGGCCCTATAAATCCTTTTATAATACCCATGTCTAAGCAGAGGACATGAAAGTAAGCAAAGAAAAGTGCTGGATGTAAAACTCCATGACTTAGAGAAAAAATATGCATACACAGCACTGTATGGAAGCAAGTGTAGCATAGCTAGGTTGTCCCACACTAACTTTAATTGAACTATAGCAAATTAATATCACAAAATATCAACCACAGACCAATCCGTCAGTCTTGGAGAGTTTATAGTCTCATTTTTAGCAGTGTCCCATGTTCACCTGTGCTAGTTAGCGTTATATTCTAACTTAACATTCCTGTATAGATATATCTGAAGTTTCACTCGCACGTGCAGTGAACATAACTGAACTTCTGCCCACTGATTTTCCTTCCAATTGTTTGTGTCTATTATCTGCAGAGTATGAAGCAAGCACAGATGTCATTATAGTATCTTTTCGGCATACCAGCTACTGATACAGAATTTTGTGTAATTATATTGCAAAGCTCTACGAAATATGTTGGAAAAGAATAATAATCATAGTTTTCATTCCATCTTCAGATGTATTTAAATATAGTTTCTAAAGCATTTGGACGATTACAAATGTCAAGTGTGCAAAATGAGTGGGTTTCTTTAACAATTAAATTTTTTAATTGTTAGCTTGTTTTATCCTACAAGCTCAATTGACACAAGTAGCCCCAGTAAAGTCCGTGATATGACAACAGGAATGACTGACTAATAACGTAAGTAACTTTTGCAGGATAAAAGCCTTAAATTGGAGGACATCTTTCATACTTCTGAGTGTTAAACAACATTATTAATGCTTGAAATTACTATTAAACCTTTTATCTGTATTAACAAGGGCTTGTAGGTTTTAAAATCAAATGGTTCTTTTTACAACTGTGTGACTTGGAGATAGTGTCCTGTTTAATTATGTGAATTTTTTCCATTTATGCCTCCTGTATCTTTGAGGTTTTGCTCCCTTGTTTTTGTTAAACACTATTTCATAACACACATCCTTTAAGCTGTATACAAAAAAACCTTCCAACATCCGTGTGCTGATAATACTTTATTTTATTAAAATAAGTTACAACACCCCAAATTACTTTCCCATTTAATGGACAGATGACATAGGCACATTTTTTACTCTGCCTTGCCATTTCACAGTTTTATATAATGTGATATACTGTATCCATTCATTTTTTTCTGTATTTACTTTTAAATAAGTGAATAAAAACACAGTTACTGCAGAAAAGCAATACCTGCTGTACTACTTGTAGAAAAGTTACTGCAGAAAAGCAATACCTGCTGTACTACTTGTAGTATGAACTGAAGCACAGCAGGTACAGGTAGCTTTATGGTTATGAAGTGACAGTACATGAAGATCCTCAGAGTAACTGCATTTTCAAGACTGCTGTCTTCCTGAAGTCTTCTTGACATTAGTCAATAATAACAAACCGACTGCTGTTTTGTAAGCTGTGCAACATGATAAAGCTTGCTGAACACAATAAAAAGGTTTGCTTCTGAAAGATTATTTTAGAATTAAGTAGATTGACAGCTCAGACAACCTGCTGTCTGCTTTGATATGCCTGCAGCTTCTCAGACACTTCATCTAGTGGTCAGTTGTTAAGGACAATATGTAATCTTTCTCATTGCTGCATTTTCAACAAACAGTCTGTTTTCTAAATGAGGTAAAGGCATGCTTGAACCAGAGATTTCAAAACATTTTAGAGATCTGTCAAGGTCTAGCAACTTGCCAAATGATCTCAACAACCCTAATTTCTTAGAAGGAGTTGGACCAAATGATGTTCAGAGCTGAGGTGATTTTCTCTGCTGCTTTTTCCAAGTTGTCTTGAAGGATGCTAGGGATGCAAATTCCACACCAAAGAATAACTTTGAAAGAAAGTCTCAATTCTCTGTAATAAAATATATTCATAACTTCAAACCACCACATTTTCTTGTTTAACATTAGCTCTTTCAGGCAGAAAGATTGTTCTCTGAAGGATGTGCTACTATTGACATGACAGGGTTAATTATCTTGGTGTTCAGTTTTAACTACTTCGATTCCTGGAATTATATATTATAATGCAATACTTAGACTCTTGGAATTATAATCCAAGGAAAATCAGAGTCTTCCCTTCACCTTTCCCAGGCAGATAAACTGAACTCCAGGCATGCTGCAAGAAGAGGGATTCGCAATTACACCTTATAAAAATAACCTTGAATTTTTTCAAGAACTGGGAAAGTCTTGTGTCCTTCACAGAAGCTTTCATTTGTCTTTCAGAAATTTTGGTGAACTGAAAAATTCATTTATCTGTATAAACAATAACTTAACATATAAAACTTAGTAGTGACCTGCTTTGCTCTCCTTCTTTCATTAATTCTAAATACCCCGTTTTTCCTTGATTTTGAAGATGCTGGGATCAGGATGACAACCACAGAAGTAGTGCTCCCCTAAATCAATTCCTATTTGAACAAGAGCATCTTTTACAGGAAAAAAAAAAAAGCGTGGAGTCTCAAAAATTTCTAGTGAGGAAAACCTTGGTAAATTGTCCCAGTGATCAACAGCTCGCACTTCTAAAAATTGTGCCTTATGTTGAATCACAGCTTGCCCAACTTTAACGTCCATTTATTAATCCCTGCCATGCCATCTGAGGGCATTTATTCTAGGACTCAGGTTTGCTGTGGTACCACAGAGTTCACCACTTTCTCATTTTTTGTTTGTTTTTTCTCTCCTACTTGTTTGTGAAATGTCTAATCCAGGGACTGACCACATTTCTCTTCGCTGCCACAGGCATCGCAGTGCAACAAATGAAGCCGGCAAATTCCAGCGCCACCAGCCAGCCTGCACCTCAGGTGTCCCTCGGATCCGAGGCTTACCCCGTGCCTCCAGCCTCAGCACCCTGCCTCACAGCTCTCCCATCCTAATAGATCCCAGCAGCTGGATGTTAATAGGCTAGCACCTTTTCACGGAGAAGAAGAAGGTGCGTGAAAATTCCTTGGGACAGTGCCTGTCTACAGAGCTGGGATGCAGAGGAATAACTGCAGCAAGGGTCAGACTGTTGTCACGCTGCCTGTTTTCGGTGACTTGAAAATTTTGGGACATACACACACTACTAATGGTAGGGTTCAAAACTGAGCATTTGCTGCGACAGTAAAATCATCTGGCAGGAAGGCCAATGGTATCTTGGGTTGCATAGGGAAGAGTGTAGCCAGCAGGTCAAGGGAAGTCATTCTCCCCCTCTACTCTGCACTGGTGAGGCCACAACTAGAGTACTGCGTCCAGTTCTGGGCTCCCCAGTTCAAGAGGGACAGGGAACTACTAGAAAGAGTCCAGCGAAGGGCAACAAAGATGATTCAAGGATTGGAGCATCTCCCTTATGAGGAGAGACCGAGAGAGCTGGGACTCTTTAGTCTGGAGAAGAGAAGGCTGAGGGGAGACCTTATCAATGCCTACAAGTATCTCAAGGGAGGGTTGAAGGAGGAGGGAGCCAGACTCTTTTCAGTGGTTCCCAGTGAGAGGACGAGGGGCAACGGGCACAAGTTGGAACATAAGAGGTTCCACTCAAATATGAGGAGAAACTTCTTCACGGTGAGGGTGACAAAGCCCTGGGACAGGCTGCCCAGGGAGGGTGTGGAGTCCCCTTCCTTGGAGATTTTCAAGACCCACCTGGATGCAGTCCTGAGTAACATGCTCGAGCTCTAGGCAATCCTGCTTCAGCAGGGGAGTTGGACTAGATTATCTCTATGGTCCCTTCCAACTCTAAAATTCAGTGAAATTCAGTGAAATTACAAACAAAGCAGTGCTTGATGTTCAACATAGCACCTAGGTGCCGTGGGCATGTGCATTTTATCTGTATCTCGATACTAAAGCCCTTCATGGGATGTGGAAACATAATGGTATTTGCAACAACCAAGATTTTGCTCCAATACATTTCTAAAATTACCAGGAAAATACATTCTCTTTTGAGGTATGTTTCTTCCCTGCCTACCATTAAAGCAGTTGCTTCTAAAATACCGGTAAAGAGCTGAATGCAGAAGGTCATGTAAGAAAAAGGATATATTTTGTGGACAGAGCTTCAAGACTTGAGGTCACTGAGTCCTGCAGGGCAGCTATGGCTTCACACTTACAGGATTCTTCAGTTATAAGACTGCTCGTTATGGCTCCTAAGTGAGAAAACAGAATATTTATGACAATCATTGAACATTTAAGATGCTTGATTCTGCAATGGGAGTTGAACTCATGCTGTGAGACTACAGCAAGCTGCAACCCAGGGCAGCCAGGCAGGAGGGATGGCAATGAACAGGGGTCTGTCATCAGCCAGAGATATGAATGTCATAGTCTGAAAACAGGACACGCAAGAGAAAGCTTGACTCTAACTGAGGAGGAGCCAGATCTGGGAGTTCCTCACCTGCTTACCTGCATCCTCTGCACTCTTTAAATTAGACCATTATTGGATTACATACAAAAAGAGGTGAAGACCAACAAGCCTCCCCTATCAATTCTAATTGCTAGACTAAAGTGAATCTTTCCTTCACTTGTTCTCTCTCCCTCTCATTTAGAATATCCCCCACCCCAAGAGGCAGGGTACCCTCGGAATAAAAATGAGTGCCATGCAGGCTGTGATGAACCTGCAGTCCAGTTCTCTGTCTTGTGAGTAGTACTTTGACCATCAGACTGTCCACACAGGACACTGGCGTCACTGTAAACAGACTGTATTTAAGACCATGACTAACTTGTTGGGCTTCTCTTCAGAAGAATCATAGTGCCATAGAATAGCTTGGGTTAGAAGGGACATTTAAAGGTCAACTAGTCCAACCCCACTGCCATAGGCAGGGACATCTTTTACTAGACCAGGTTTCTCAAAGCCCCATCCAATCTGTCCTTGAACACTTCCAGGGATGGGGCATCCACAACTTCTCTGGGCAACCTGTTCCAGTATCTCACCACTTTCATAGTAAAGGATTTCTTCTTCATACCTAAATAGAATCTAAAGCTATCTATCCAAAACCAAGGTTTCTGCCCTGTCAAAGCTGGTTTGTAATGGCATTTTGGGTACTTAACCACTCCCAAACACAGCACTTCTGAGTTTTTTTTACATTGCTTGCAAAAGCAAGAGCAGCAGATTATTAAATTACTCTTCTATGTACATAGCTGATCACTGCTAAACAAATTATGTGAACATTATAACAGCATTGTAATAGAAATGTTATACTTTGATACAATTCCTCTTTTTTCCTGAATTGTTTTGGTTTCTCTTTTTGTGTTATGACATTGATATCTTCATTTTGCAAGGAAACTGATGGCTGCTTGTATTATAGATAATGACTAAAATATATCCATTTCTAAAGGTTGTTCATTCAGTGTTTCACTGAAAGAATCTATGAACAGATTCACTTCTGGCAGCATAGAAATTCATTTGTCTTAGAGCCAATGTTGAAACTGTTGTCTCCTTGACTCCACTGAACCCATATTCGTCCAGTTCCCTTTTTTGGAACGCTCTGCCAGCTTTATGGTGCGTGTACAAAGAAGAGCTGTTTGAGATTCAGCTGGAGGAAGGCCAGTTCAAAATATCACACCAACATGGTTGGTTTCCAACCAACTGCCAGTTAATTTTTTTATGTTTGCATTTAAACTCTCCAATGACAGATACAGATCCTCCTTGGATGATGTCTGTTTTAACGAAATTACTTTTCCAACCAACTTTGGAAACCACCCAAGGGTACCATGAAGTCTTCTACAGCCCTTCTGTGAAATGTAGAGTCTTGCAGTATTTGGTATGCAAAATTCTGGACACTCCCGTTGCCACTGGGATGCCCAACAAGTCGTACAAAGCACACTAGGGTTGTGTTTTTATACTGCATTTGTGTTTTAAGTCCAGACCTACAAAAAAATTACTATTTTTGCAGATGGTGTTTGGCTATATCCATGTATTTTATAACTTTGCTCTTACACAAGGTCCTTAGCCACTTGATGGCAAGTTATCCCTGCTCTGAACCAGAGATCCGACTAGGTACCTCTTGAGGTCCTTTCCAACCCAACTTTACTTATGATTCTCCATCAAATGGTGCGGAGGTTCTGCCAGCAGTTGATGCCTTTATTGCCCATGTGGAGGGAAAGCAGTTGGTGAGTTCATGCCTGCCCCACTCAGCTTGGAGGAGTGGACAAGAACATACGGTGTAGCATTGCAGTAGCTCTTCTGACACCAGTTCCATTTACCTCTGACTCCCCACCATCCTTCACATTTTGGTACACAGTTGCGTCTCATGCCCTGGAGAGAGATGCCACAGAACCCTGCCTTGACAGTTCCCCACAATTATTCCCATTTCATAAGGAAATGTGGATTATAACTGATTATTTTTTTTTTAAATACAGTGAAGTCCTTAAATGTGTGGTGATAAGTAAGAGTCGACTGCAGTTTTAAATACAATAACTGCTAAAACTAAACAAGAAGGATGAAACTAATTTTTTTTAAATACAGTGAAGTCCTTTAATGTGTGGTGATAAGTAAGAGTCAACTGCAGTTTTAAATACAGTATCTGCTAAAACTAAACAAGAAGGATGAAACTAGCTCAAAATATTAGTGGACGCAGTGAGAAAAGAATGAGAAGGCTTTATACTTCCAGGGAGTTTGTGAGTTCATAGAATGTTTCTCAAACAGATTAAAAGGATTTAACAGATTTAAAAGAGGTACTTCAATAGATACATTCAGGGGAAAAAAAACCCAAACATTAAATAATTACTTGAGCATGTTTTCTCCTCTGGATTTAAGGTTAAGCCTTCATAGCAGTTGCAGGTATACGATCCACCTGCTCACAGCCATGGCTTCCTGGTGCTCATACTACACTTCCTACAGAATGCATTTTGGAGAAAGTTGTCCAAAAAAAAGATAACTTTTTTTTAAGGCTTCCCAATGGCAATCTTTTTCCGTACTGGGAGCCTATCCTATGTGGATCTTACCAGGAACTACTGAGATGTGTAACTGATCTCACCCTGGGGCAGCGATATGAACTAATGGCCTTACTGGGGTCTCCCTTGGTCCTTATTTTGTACAGTCCACGCTCACTCTGACCACAGCTGCCTAAACCCACCAGATGTGAAGTGCCAGATCACCTCCAAAGGCGTGCTAGGAAAAGTTTCCAGCACACAATAACTTTACAGTAAGGAGACCAGGAAGAAAAGAAATATTTTTTTTTTAAAATCACATTTTTACTATAACACTAAGTTACCTGAGAAACTAAAGAAAGAAACAGCAACATGGAATTCAGGCTGGAGGGAAGGACACCACCTCAAATTGTCCCCTGCACAGTGGCACACAGTTTCCACAGTACTGCAAAGTGTGTGACTACGTGACTAACCTCAGCTCCTCTCTCTTCAGGTATTTCTCAGTTCTAGGTTTGCTGAATATTGCATATTATTTTTAAATAGAGTGAAGGCCTTAGTTATAAGATCATAGAATCATAGAATCATAGAATTGCCCAGGCCAGAAGGGACCTCCAAAGGTGAGAAACTAAAGAAAGAAACAGCAACATGGAATTCAGGCTGGAGGGAAGGACACCACCTCAAATTGTCCCCTGCACAGTGGCACACAGTTTCCACAGTACTGCAAAGTGTGTGACTACGTGACTAACCTCAGCTCCTCTCTCTTCAGGTATTTCTCAGTTCTAGGTTTGCTGAATATTGCATATTATTTTTAAGTAGAGTGAAGGCCTTAGTTATAAGATGATAAAGAAAGACCAAATGGTAAGCAGTTATTAGCATTGTTGCATATAAAGTGCTTTAGGTCTCTGAATGTTGCTTGAAGTAGAAAAAGCAGAGTGATATAGAATTGTCTTGTAACACTTGAATGCATGTGAAAGTTTCTCAAACAGATCCAAATGCATTAACCTGCTACTGAGAGCAATTCCAGTACATGTCCTTAGCTGGGGAGTGCTTTAGGTCTCTGAATGTTGCTTGAAGTAGAAAAAGCAGAGTGATATAGAATTGTCTTGTAACACTTGAATGCATGTGAAAGTTTCTCAAACAGATCCAAATGCATTAACCTGCTACTGAGAGCAATTCCAGTACATGTCCTTAGCTGGGGAGAGTGTGGGAAATAGGGAACAGCAATCTGCTCTTACTTGAGCAAGTCTTCTTGTCTGGGTTCAGGGTGTAGCCTTGGTGGCAGTCACAGGTGTAGAAGAGATCATCTCTCACACAGACTTGCTCGCAGTCGTGCCTCCCAGGTGCACACATGTCCATAGCTGAGGAAGGCATCAGAGAAGAGAAGAATATTAATTCATACCCAAACCTCAGTTTGGTTGATGTTAATAATTCCCATTTGCAAACATATCTTCATTTGGATTCAAACCAGGTTGTAGCCAGCATGTATTACCCGTACGGGGTATACAGAGTGTGTTTTTATCTGGCTATCCACGTCAATTAATACGATTTTTGGAACACTGGCAACACCTTTTTTTGCAATTGTAACAAATTGCAGAAGGAACTGAACCAGCAGTGACCCAATTACAAAATAATTATCCAAAGGAATTTCAGAGAACAAATAGCTGGATTTTAAGAGAGTATTTGGCATTATTTCAGCTCTAATTGAGTTGGGTAAGACACTGTTCTGTGGAGTAAAAAGACCATAAACAGAAGAGTATACATGGCTGCAAAAAAAAAAAGAGACGTGGCACCCGCTGCCAGTTACAAAGTGGGCACTTGATGTGTGAGGCTGATGTTTTCTGCCAAATTTAACACGTCAACTCTGAAGGCCAAGCTGAGAAGGAGTTCCTATATTTGGATATCTTTGCAGTAAGGAGGTTCAGTCAGGCATAGGCAAAGAAAGACAGAAGATTAAGAAAAAGAGAGAAAGAAAGAAAGAAAGAAAGATAAAAAGAGAGAGAGAAATAAAAAAAGAGAGAAATAAAGAGAGAAATAGAGAAAGGACCACCTCCTGGACCTGAACTGTTTTTATTATAGACCTGGATGGTTGAGAAATCAGCAGCCTATTGCAAAATGAGATTTAAAAGAGAAAAAAAGCAAGCATGTTAGGGAAATAATCTTAAAGAGAGAGAGAAATAAAGAGAGAAATAGAGAAAGGACCACCTCCTGGACCTGAACTGTTTTTATTATAGACCTGGATGGTTGAGAAATCAGCAGCCTATTGCAAAATGAGATTTAAAAGAGAAAAAAAGCAAGCATGTTAGGGAAATAATCTGAAATTTGATTATGCAGGGGGAATCAGTGCTATGAAAGGAGGTTCAGGATTGGGCTCCTAAAGGGAATGCTTAACTGAATTCACAGTCCCTCATAGATCTTTAATGCATCTGTATAATGCCAGGGGAGAATTAATCTTAGGAACTGTATTTATAAAATCAGCTCCTAAACTAGGCAGGAAGTAATACTGAGGCCCTTCAGCTTCACCTCTTGGAGATGCGAAACCCATGACTTAACTGGAGAGATTTGTCTGGGAGCCTCCTGGAACGGGAAGCCGAGGTTCAGTGCTTTGTCACACAAAATGTAGTAAGGAAAGGGGTTATGACGAAAGTAAAAAAAAAGAGTTTTGTGTAAACAAAGCATCAGTGAGACATCCAAGAAATGAGTGAAGCTCAAATCCTAAATAAATGAAAAGGGTAGAGAATGCATCTTAATTTGTAGGTACTATATATTTATATATACATTCTTAAGTACTGGCTACATCTATGCTCCTGTTCGCCGCATGAGGCCAAAACTGGGAAAGAATATTTCCCTCCATCCTCTAGAGCTCTAAGGCTGGAATATTTATTATAGTCCCAGCACATCCACCAGAAAGAGTGATCACTCTCATGATGGTATAGACTGTAACCTCTCTCCCAGCACAGTCCTTGCTCTCCTTCATCTCACTCCCTTGTGCTGCTTTGCTGAAGAGTTTTCTGACAAGGTACTACACATCACATGTTCCCACCAAATATGTTATCCTTCTCCTCTCTCAGGTGGATATGGCAATTTGTGCTCCGTGGGTGTGAAAATGCTGCAAAGTCCTCAGGGAAATGCCACGTGGCATTTTAATTATACCAATTACAAGCTTCACACAACTGTTGAAGAGTCACGGGTCTCAAATTATTACTGGACACACAAAGAAATAAAGTTGCACTGTGTTTTCAGTGCAGAAACTCTTGCATAATTTATCAGAAAAATAACATAAATTAACCTGATTTTTAAAAGCTACATGCTTTTAGCTGAACACAATACCTCCTAGAGTACTGCGTCCAGTTCTGGGCTCCCCAGTTCAAGAGGGACAGGGAACTACTAGAAAGAGTCCAGCGAAGGGCAACAAAGATGATTCAAGGATTGGAGCATCTCCCTGATGAGGAGAGACTGAGAGAGCTGGGACTCTTTAGTCTGGAGAAGAGAAGGCTGAGGGGAGACCTTATCAATGCCTACAAGTATCTCAAGGGAGGGTTGAAGGAGGAGGGAGCCAGACTCTTTTCAGTGGTTCCCAGTGAGAGGACAAGGGGCAACGGGCACAAGTTGGAACATAAGAGGTTCCACTCAAATATGAGGAGAAACTTCTTCACGGTGAGGGTGACAGAGCCCTGGAACAGGCTGCCCAGGGAGGGTGTGGAGTCCCCTTCCTTGGAGATTTTCAAGACCCACCTGGATGCAGTCCTGAGTAACATGCTCTAGCTCTAGGCAATCCTGCTTCGGCAGGGGAGTTGGACTAGATGATCTCTATGGTCCCTTCCAACTCTAAAATTCAGTGAAATTCAGTGTAATTCAGTGAAATTCAGTGAAATCAGGTCTTACCTGAGCAAGTCTTCTTATCCGGATTCAGAGCGTAGCCTTCAAAGCAGTCACAGCTGTAGGATCCATCATTGCTCAGACAGACTTGTGCACAGTCGTGCCTTCCAGGTGTGCACATGTCCATGGCTGCGGTCAACCGTGTTTGAGAAAAGAAACCTCTTAATGCTTCAGCATTTCTAAAAACAATTTAATTAGGATTCAACCAGTGCCCTACTACATTATTACATTATGCTGCAGACAACTGAATTCAGTTACTAATTATTTAATGGAGGAAGCAGATATTGGGACTGCAAGACATTACTGTACCACATCTCACTCAATTCTGATTTTCCTCAGCAATTCTAGCAGTCCTGGATATCCCCAGGAAGGATGAAGCTGAAACACCATACTGAGATGAGCAATAACCTGCCACGTGCCCAGGCAGAACTTGTTTCTTGCGGTATTAGCAGTAACTGTGGTGAATCCAGCTTTAACTCTGTACTTTCATCCATGAGCTGAAAGCAGGCACAAAAAGCCAGGCACGATATGTAGAAATACTATTAAGTGGCAAAGAGATATAAAGCCTCGTGAGAACACAAACAAACAAAAAAGCAGAAGCACTAGAAGATTATGTTCTCTCTTCAGAAATAAGCAGAAATAAGGAGTGAAAACTTCAGTGAGAAGAACGCTTATGAGCTCTGAAAGGGAGGGATGCACTTACTAGTTATAAAATAGCTACCCTAAGGCTGGTGCTGCTTCAAACTTCTGGATTTAAAGAAACAATCCGGAAAAGTATTTGGAGGGTAGGAAAGAAACTGCTGCCAGTGAAAGACTGGGGTTGCTATATAGCAGAGCCCTGCACAACGTTGGGAGCAGTAAAAACCCCTGAGTTTCAACAGAAGAGACAGAGAGGACGTGAGAAAATCATCAAGTTTTAAGTTCTCTATGGCCTCATGGCACTCAGTCTCCAGTGGAGACACAGTACTGGCAGGCATCTCTAAAATAGGTTCATCCTCTCCCAGGGGATAAGTAATGTTCATGAAGTACTGTGAATACCATAGCATGGTAGGTAAGTGCCAAACTGCATTTTTTTAATCAAAACATTTAAAGAAAAATGCAATTTTATTGTTATTGGAACCAAGGGGAAAGGCTACAGGTGACTTCTCATTTTAAGAGTTGATGTCTGTAAGCAATTTTTCAACAAGAAATAATGAGGGTAACTCAGAGAAAACATGTCTCTGTGAGTTTCATGTATTATTAATTCTTACCTGAGCAAGTCTTCTTATCTGGATTCAGGGTGTAGCCTTCGTAGCACTCACAGACGTAGGACCCGTTGTTACTCACACAGATCTGATCACACTCGTGCCTTCCAGGTGTACACATGTCCACAGCTGCAAGAGCCGTGTCAGAGAAACCATTCATTGTTAATACAAAGCAGTTTGGGACGGAGTGCATGTTCACATTTTTGAATATATTTTTATTTGGAATCGGCTCAAAAATGTCAATAGTAACTGAAGGAATTAGAATAAGAGGTAGGAGAAAATATCTATGCAGTGTCTACATCTGAAGACTGTGTTTTGGCATCTGGCCCTAATGCATGGATCTGTAGGCATAATAAAAAGGATGGTGATGGAATCAAACTATTTCTCATCATTACTTGCAGGTGACTTTTATGTATTATTTATGATTAGATTTATTATTATTGAAGGAGACAGAGAAGTTCACTGTTTCAACAGAAGTACACGAGTAGCTTCTCAAATCCCATTACGGTGTTCAAAAGTGATTTATTTTTTTCCTAGTTAAAAACATTTACCAAAGGAGCAATACCTGAGCAGGTTCTCTTATCCGGGTTGAGAGTGTAGCCTTCGTAGCAGTCACAAAGGTAGGAGCCCCCGTTACTCACACAGACCTGCTCACAGTCGTGGGTCCCAAGCGCACACACATTCGCAGCTACAAAGGGCATTTACAGAAAAGGCATTTAATCCCAAAGGAAAGAAACAGTCATTAATAATTTATTATGTTTACAAAAGTTCATCTTGCACCGTTTGCTGGATTAGGAGTAATAAATGTCAGTGCGGTGTCACTATCACTAAAGCTACTGGCATCTTTTGCATCATTCTGTAGCCAGAAGAAGGAGGTCGTAAATGACACTGGAACAACTGCACTGAAATAACTCACCACCTGAGGTAGCAGAAAGACAAGATGAATTGAAAAGGGTGCAACAGGGAGAGATTTTAAGCCTTCAGTAACATTCCACTGGAAATGAGAACTCGGCAATGAAAAGGACCTTCTGGCTTTTTGTATCCAGTCCCTTTCTATTACAGACAACAAGCTCAAATAATCCCAGGAGACCAGGAGGAAGAGAAAAATGATTCAGAGGCAGCAGGGCAACACACTGTCTTCTCAGGGATGAGAAGAGTGTCTGTGTAATGATGGTCCAGGTGCATCAGCCAGCAAAGAAACCCACCAGTGCAAGATGGGTATGTGAGGGCTGAAGCTGCCTTGGTCCATCAGGTTTAAACAGTCAAGACTAAAAGAGGATATGGAGAAATGTTTCTACAGTAAAGTAGCTTTACGGGCACGTGAACCTCCTCATTGAAGGACAGTACAGAAATAATGTCTGGAGAAGCTGAAACTACAAACTACAATGAGATTCGATTTTCAGGGACCAGCTAAATGCCCAGCAGACAATAAGGCTACTTCATCAGTCTGAGAAAACAGAAAGCAGTGACATGAAAAGCAGCGTGATGGATGGCAGCTGATAGAAGTGTGGCAGGCAAAATGACTGTCGCAATGCTGGGCTGTCCCTGCAATGCACTGTGTGTGCTGACAGTCATTTCCTTCACAGATGGTCTAACTACATAATTAACTTCTGACCAAGTCTTCTCAAGTGTATTTAGCTTTGGATCTGCTGCTTCTTTGGTCGCCTCAAGATGCCCTGTTTCTCTCCACAAACTGTGAAGCAAACCTAGCTACTCACTTAAACTGTGATGATTTTTAGAGGACTAAATTTAGATGAGATGAAAAAGGGAAGAGGAGAGAGAAGGCAGGGGGTGAGGAGAGAAGAAAAAAAAGGTGGAGGAAAAAGGTGGGAAAGCAGAAAGGAAGAAAAGAGGAGAAAATAAAAGGGAAAAAAAAGAGAAAAATGGAAAGACAAGTTTGCTATTACCTGAGATGTTATTCACATGCGTAGTTACAATGTGGTTATTGATTACTGGTAAGATCAAACTCCAAAGCAATAGTGGTGAGACAAGAAATGAGAAGTTGTGGATGTCCCACCCCTCGAAATGTTCAAGGCCAGGCTGGATGAGGCTTTGAGCAACCTGGTCTAGTGGGAGATGTCCCTGCCATGGCAGGGGAGTTGAAACTCTACAATCTTTAAGGTTCCTTCCAACTCAAACCATTCTATGATTCTATGAAGCAAGAGGGTAGAAGAAAAAAAAGGTGGAGGAAAAAGGTGGTGAGGAGAGAAGAAAAAAAAGGTGGAGGAAAAAGGTGGGAAAGGAGAAAGAAAGGAGGAGAAAATGAAAGGGGAAAAAAAGAGAAAAATGGAAAGACAAGTTTGCAGAAAGGAAGAAAAGAGGAGAAAATAAAAGGGAAAAAAAAGAGAAAAATGGAAAGACAAGTTTGTTATTACCTGAGATGTTATTCACATGCATAGTTACAATGTGGTTATTGATTACTGGTAAGATCAAACTCCAAAGCAATAGTGGTGAGACAAGAAATGAGAAGTTGTGGATGTCCCATCCCTGGAAATGTTCAAAGCCAGGCTGGATGGGGCTTTGAGCAACCTTGTCTAGTGGGAGGTGTCCCTGCCCATGGCAGGGGAGTTGGAACTTGATGATCTTTAAGGTCCCTTCCAACCCAAACCCTTCTATGATTCTATGAAGCAAGAATGTTTGAATCTTCGCATGTACTTCTGAAGACAAGGCAACATTGCCCATTTTCTGAAACATGGAAGTTTTAGATGTGCCCTACTAAGGCTGATAGAAAGTGTGTCTTATATTTCCATTGGCAAAACCAAATCTCAAACCAAGACAGCATCTTTTCATTCTGCTACACCCTCTTATTGATTACTGGTAAGATCAAACTCCAAAGCAATAGTGGTGAGACAAGAAATGAGAAGTTGTGGATGTCCCACCCCTCGAAATGTTCAAGGCCAGGCTGGATGAGGCTTTGAGCAACCTGGTCTAGTGGGAGATGTCCCTGCCATGGCAGGGGAGTTGAAACTCTACAATCTTTAAGGTTCCTTCCAACTCAAACCATTCTATGATTCTATGAAGCAAGAATGTTTGAATCTTCACATGTACTTCTGAAGACAAGGCAACATTGCCCATTTTCTGAAACATGGAAGTTTTAGATGTGCCCTACTAAGGCTGATAGAAAGTGTGTCTTATATTTCCATTGGCAAAACCAAATCTCAAACCAAGACAGCATCTTTTCATTCTGCTACACCCTCGGGAATAAGAGGATTCATCTCCACGACTTACGAAAAAAATCTGCGGGTGACATTTTCAACCATAACTGAGAAGCTCAGATTGAACTGGTCAGATTTTTGTGGTAGGAAAGTCAAGCTTCCACTGGCTTGGACACCAATTCAAGGCTAAGATTTTCCATCCCCAGGATGGTCTCATGTTGAATGATGCTCTCAATGCATCAAGAACTTGATCTTAGCCAACTATTCTGCCCCTGAACATTAGTTTTCCTGTTTTCAGTTCACCCTACAAACAAATTTATTTGCCTTTGGCCAAAGCGAAGAAAATCCTAATTGTCACTGGTGAGTCTAGATTTCTGACCAAGAAGCAGTCTGGAGCTGGAAAAGACCCAGTTTACCCACACTGTCTTACAAAGCCCTCTTAGATTCATTTGGTTCATAGGAACCCTTTGAAAAACTGTTCTCTTTACCCCACATTTGGCCATGAATCCCACATATTCTGGCTAACTGCATGTAGGAAACTCAGAAGTGTGTATGTGTGAGCCCTCTTTGGTTTATCCTCCAGCTTCACAGGGGAATAATTCCTATGCTTTCACACAATAAACAGTAGGTTTACTCTAAGGAACAAGAGATTTTTCTTTGGTGCTACAAAAGGACTTGCTTTGGCGAGAACATCGGTGGAAAACTAGTGCTATGTTCACAGCTCACATACCTGTCCAGGTAGGTGGGCACTTGGACACACTTCCAGATACCAGAGAGAGGATGTGGTCACATCAGCGACACAGCGTGATGTCGAGCCAAACCTCAAGGCATTTCCTATGTTAATTATTGGGCAAAGTGTCCTGCCTACAGATGGTCCTACACATTTATTTCATACTTAGAAAAAAAAAGGTCTATTCACTCTAAACGTATTCCAAACGTATGCTGGTAATTTTTAGTAAGGCTCTGAAATAACAAACTAACACATTGCCAACCAAGTGCCCAAGGCAACGGCTGTTATTTTAATTCTCTTTAAATGTTCTTTACACCTGATTTTACCCATTACTTGCTGGAGAATTATTTTACAAGTAATTTCCTTGAAATTTACTAGAAAAACCTACTTTTTTAATTGCCAAAAAGTCATTGTTTGATTTTTGTGAGTAGGGCTGTGTCATACCTACCTATAGGCATTTCTAAATACTCCAGATAGGTGACCTTTTTGTTTCTGTAAATGACAGTAAGAACCCACACTGGCCTAGCATCGTTATTGGAGTTCTAGTCCAAACCAAACATACATCCAGCATTTTTCCAAGCCCAGCCTGGGGAGAGCGAAGCTAATTCAAACCATCCCACAGTTCCCTGTCTAAATCAAGGTGCAGAGAAACACAGAAAGGTGTGACTTTGGAATAATGGAAAAGCCCAGCAATGGCAGCTCAGAAAGAAAGCCTATCCTGAGATGACCTGCCGTTCTGTTCAGGCACTTCTTCATCCTGCAACAAATTTCTCAAGCTAGCGTGGCGGTTCCCACACCACACTGATTTTCTGACTCTGAATCTATAAGGAACTCTTTGGAGCCACCCTTCCACCCTTCCACCCTTCCAGCGTGCGCTCTCGGCAAGTCAGAAAATGTCTGTAGCCGAGTGCCAGCCAGGTTGCCCTGCTTTCTCTCGCACTAAATGGGACCAACTGCACAAGGAGGTCCACTGAAACCAGGTCTGTAACCTGCATGGTAAGGTCACTATTCAAAACGAAAGGTCATTACTTGGCCTCCACTGAATAAAAGGGATGGCTTGTTTGCCTAACGGGTGGCAAAGGAAATATTTAAATGTGATACATAACACTTCTGAAAACCTTCTTTCTTAGGGAGCAGAACCACAGGAGAAGCCAAAATGAGCCAAATTACACTACCCTCTTGGACCGACCACCTTACCACAGAAAGTCTCTCTGAATTTGGATGTCAGCTTTTCGATCACACCATAGGTCTCCACATAAAAGACGTGTTCATCCAGTGGCTCGCTGGCCATTATCCTCAGGGACTGCATGTCTGCCCTGTCTACCCCGACGGCGTAGATCTCGATGCCAGCTGCCCGGGCGCTCGCTGCCACGTCTTGAACCTGGTCTTGCGGTCGTCCATCTGTCACAACAATGACCACCTTGGGGATATTGAAGGTTGCTGGCCGGGTGCCCATTTCCTCAGTGAAGACTTCATCCATGGCAGTTTGGATGGCGAGGCCGGTCATCGTGCCAGCAGACAAGGGCTCGATGTGAGATACAGCCTCCTTCATAGATGCTCTATCAAAGTAGGTCCGGAGGGGAAACTCTACCTTGACCGTGCTGGCGTAGTTCAGGACTGCCACGCGGGTTGTCCTTTCACCGACGTCCAAGGTATCGATCATTTCTGACAAAAAGACTTTCACTTTCTCAAACTCCTCAGGTCGGACACTACGGGAGCTGTCGATGATGAAGACGAGGTCTAGGGGCCGGTTCTTGCAGGCAGAGTCTGTCAAGGAGGAAGGAAAACACTTCAGTCATCTCCTGCACGGGACCGGAGCTCGCACCGCGGGGCAGCGAGAGCCGTCGCGGCAAACTACTGCCAGATAAATGTTGGCACTCTGGACTTTTTAGGAAGAGGCTTAAAATTACAGTGAGAGACACATTAGAAATTCTTAAAGATTAACTTTGACAAGGAATAAATAATTGAACACTTCTAAGTATTAAAAGATAGGCCCACATTTGAGCCCACAAAATGTTTAACTATCCTCGAAACAAAGGGTTGTAGTTCACATGTTAGCAGCCAACACACAAGTGTAGCAATAATATATACTTACTTCTTATTTTCAGAAAGCCTCTGAAAGCCATTTTTATAAGCTACAGCAATAAAAAGGTAAAACAACTGACTAGATTACATAGTGAACAGATCCTAATGATATTTTTGAGGATAGAAACAATTTAGATTGCTGCTTAGGAATTATTTCTTGTTTGTAATTCATAATCCAAAATACACAAGAAGAAGAAATAAAGGCCAACAGGAAAAAGATGCAAACGACGCTGTGATAAATGTTTCTGTAAAAGTTGTTATTGTTTAAAGGTTTCCAAAGCAGAGAAATAATTGAATTTATTATTTATGAAGGAATTTTACCTGTGAAAATGAACATTCACACAAATATTTCTAGCTTCTACAATTCCTCACTGACAGAGAAATCTAGACTGGAGCAGAAAAGCCATAGCTCAGATCAGAGACGAGCGTCGCTTCCAGGAAGATGAGAAACAATCGAGAGGGCAACAGCAGGACCCCCGAGCCGTGCGCTCTGTCCCCACACCCTGCCCTCGCCCTGAGGATGCCATCAAGGGATGGATTTGTGCTGCTGGTTTACGGCAAACAAACAGCCCAAAAGCACAGTGTTTCTACAAAAAGAGACATTCCTGCTCAGCAGTTGCATTGCAGAGCAACACGCGGGGTCCTCGGTTTGAATCTACTCCCTGAAGAGCTCTTCTGGGAACCTGACACACCTTTCACAGCTGCTACCAAGTTGGCTTTCACTATTCCCTTCCAGTTAAAAAATAAATAAATAAAAAAATATATATATATAAAAAAATTCTTCACACGTCTCAAAAGTAGAGGCAAAACCCGCACTTTTTTTTTCGATCCATTAAAAAATATTTTTTTCTTGTACAAGATGAAGGGGAAAAAAATCAAATTGCACAGATAGATCTTAGTCCCATCAGGAAACACAGCAGTAGAGTTGGTTTTGCCTTTGGACAGAGTAACGGACTGTGCAAATCTAGGATCCTGACCAGGTATATTCTATATATATATATACTACATTGTATTATTATCTATAATTCTACATGCATCCCGTAACTCAGGTTTTGCATAAGGGATTAGCAGAATGGCTTTGGAAAGCTGAGAAAACGTGAAGAAATATTTGTGGATGCATGGGCGGCGTAAGATATGAAAGAAGAGACACGATGTTTGTCCTACAAAAAAAAAAAACAAACCCAAATCCAAGATCCCAGACTTGTAGGCAGAAGAATTATCTTATTTTAGATTAGGAAAAAGAAAAAAAAAAAGAAAGAAGAAAAACCTGAAACTTTCCAACAGCCTGATCCTTCTGTGAGCCCGAAAGAGATGTTTTGAGGAAAGAACACAGGTGGGGAAGAAGAGTTGTTTAGGTTTTAGAGATCAGCAAGGCCGGTTTTGCATGAAAAAAAAAAAAAAAAAGCGAGTAGTTGGTGCTTCTGCCTCCGAGCGAACGGTGCGCGGCCCCCCCCGCAGCCGCAGCGGGATGTGAGCCCCGGTGCGCGGTGCCCGGCGGAGCCACGGTCCCGGAGCGCATCCCGGGGGGACGCGGCCCCTCGGCGGTACCTGGGGCGGCGGGACGGCGGGACGGGAGCCCCCGGGCCGCGGGGGACAGCAGCAGCAGCAGGGCCATGGCCAGGCAGCAGCCGGGGATGGCGAGCGGTCGCCCCATGGTGCCTCGCCTGCCCCCCCCCTCAAAAGTAGAGGCAAAACCCGCACTTTTTTTTTCGATCCATTAAAAAATATTTTTTTCTTGTACAAGATGAAGGGGAAAAAAATCAAATTGCACAGATAGATCTTAGTCCCATCAGGAAACACAGCAGTAGAGTTGGTTTTGCCTTTGGACAGAGTAACGGACTGTGCAAATCTAGGATCCTGACCAGGTATATTCTATATATATATATACTACATTGTATTATTATCTATAATTCTACATGCATCCCGTAACTCAGGTTTTGCATAAGGGATTAGCAGAATGGCTTTGGAAAGCTGAGAAAACGTGAAGAAATATTTGTGGATGCATGGGCGGCGTAAGATATGAAAGAAGAGACACGATGTTTGTCCTACAAAAAAAAAAAACAAACCCAAATCCAAGATCCCAGACTTGTAGGCAGAAGAATTATCTTATTTTAGATTAGGAAAAAGAAAAAAAAAAAGAAAGAAGAAAAACCTGAAACTTTCCAACAGCCTGATCCTTCTGTGAGCCCGAAAGAGATGTTTTGAGGAAAGAACACAGGTGGGGAAGAAGAGTTGTTTAGGTTTTAGAGATCAGCAAGGCCGGTTTTGCATGAAAAAAAAAAAAAAAAAGCGAGTAGTTGGTGCTTCTGCCTCCGAGCGAACGGTGCGCGGCCCCCCCCGCAGCCGCAGCGGGATGTGAGCCCCGGTGCGCGGTGCCCGGCGGAGCCACGGTCCCGGAGCGCATCCCGGGGGGACGCGGCCCCTCGGCGGTACCTGGGGCGGCGGGACGGCGGGGAGGGAGCCCCCGGGCCGCGGGGGACAGCAGCAGCAGCAGGGCCATGGCCAGGCAGCAGCCGGGGATGGCGAGCGGTCGCCCCATGGTGCCTCGACTGCCCCCCCCCTCCCTCCCCGCGCCGGTTTTAAAGCTGGCGGCAGCGATGGGGGGGGCAGGAGGTGGGGGGGCGGAGCGGGCTGGCACCGGCTCCCCCCGCCGCCTCCTCCCCGGGCACAGAATCACAGAATTTCACTGAATTTCACTGAATTTTAGAGTTGGAAGGGACCATAGAGACCATCTAGTCCAACTCCCTTGCTGAAGCAGGATTGCCTAGAGCTAGAGCATGTTACTCAGGAC